GCATTCAAGGCCAGGCTGGATGTGGCTCTGGGCAACCTGGGCTGCTGGTTGGCGACCTGCACACAGCAGGGGTTGGAACTGGATGAGCACTGTGCTCCTTTGCAACCCAGGCCATGCTGTGATTCTGGCACATCAAACACAAAGTACCCATTGGAAGCAGTTAACCCTCTCACCAGAAAGCATTGGTTTGTACATATTTTATACTTCAAATGCCTTTTGTTTGCTGCTATCATGTCTCTTTCCATAGGCAGCCCTCACCAAAACACTTCTGTGGCTCAGCTACTTGTGGGTATGTCACAGAAACACCTTGTTACAAACACACAGCACCTGCTGAGCGTGCTGGCAATATCTGCAGCAAGTGCTCAGTGTTGTTCAATGTAAAACTGTGAAGTCCGGGGTAGTAGTGATGCTGACTTAGGTTAGGCTGCTTCTGCTGCTGAGAAAGAACCAACAAATCCTAATTTGAAGATACGGAACACTTCTGTGAATGGCCCTCCGAGACACAGAGCTGCGTTTGCTAATTGCCACCACGAGATCAGCCTCACAGTCAGTCCCTGAAGGCCAAGGAGGTGTTACAGGGACTCGGATCATCTCCAAGTCCCACACGAGTCCCTAACCCCTGTTATTGGAACAGGCACTGCATTATTCACCTGCAGCTCTGCTTTGTAAGCTCTTAATTAAAGGACTGCCATTTTTAATTAGAAGCATTTGATTTCCGCTATCCAAAGGCCATAGTAAAACAGATTCCCCCCTATTTCTGGAAGATTAAATGCTGTAGCCTTAACAGATAAACGCTGTCCCGCATACTGCGTGTTTTCCAAACAAGTGTTAGTGCCTAAAATGTCTGTTCCAGCTTTGTGACGCTCAGGGCCTTGCTTACTGTGTGTATCCAAGTGCAAGCATCGGCAAGCTGCGCTGTTTTACGCTGCCCTTTGTTTTTACTTCTGTGTTGTCTTCTTTACTGTTACCGTTTCTCAAAGTAAAGGTGATGATTTTATTGTGCGCAGAGCATCCTTGGGTTTCATTTTTGTGACACACAAATTCTTGCCTTCAGCAGCACTGATTTCAGAACTCAATGTCAGGGTCTCTTTGCTGCTGCGTTTCCTCTGAATGGAAGCAGCAGAAGGTGCGGTTCTGATGCTGCAAGAGGCTTGAGGCCTGCATTTGAGACTGTCACTGTAAGAGCCAGAAGATTTGAGCAGCACTCAAATAGTGCTAGCAGTGCTCAAATAGCACTCTGCAGTGTAGAGCACAGCAGACACCCTACCTTCCCATTCAAGCAGCTCATATCAACTGCCTCACCCTCTCCAAAAATGGAGAACTGAACGCACAGATGAGCTAAAGCTCTCAAGAACAGTTTCAATCAGAGAAAATGTTTGAGCTCTGCAGAAAGCTGGGCACAACCAGGACAACACAAAACCTCCCAGCACCACCACATTCCACCTCAACTAGAGGCCCTCAGCTCGGGTGTTGTTCTGCAAGGAGGAGACAACGAATTAAGCTCTCCACTGCAGCTCCTGAAGGGTAACAGTGGTGCAGAGCAAAATAGCAGCTCTTGTAGTTGACAGCACATAATGAACTGGGGAGCAAAGCATTGTAAGTTCTTGCTGTTCTAGGTGGAGATGTTAGAGTAGGAAGGCACACGCACAGAAGTACCTTGGAGAAGCTACTTGGAGATTGGAGAAGGCTGTGGGGAGACCTCATGGTGGCCTTCCAGTGCTCGAAGGGAGCAGATAAAAGGAGGGGAACAACGGCTGTTTGTGAGGGTGGATGGTGATGGGACAAGGGGAATGGTTTTAAAGTGAGACAGGGGAGGTTTGGGTTGGATATGAGGAGGAAGTTTTTCAGCCAGAGGGTGGTGAGGCACTGGCACAGGTTGCCCAAGGAGGCTGTGGATGCCCCATCCCTGCAGGCATTCAAGGCCAGGCTGGATGTGGCTCTGGGCAGCCTGGGCTGCTGGTTGGCGACCTGCACCCAGCAGGGGGTTGGAGCTGGATGAGCATTGTGCTCCTTTGCAACCCAGGCCATGCTGTGGTCCTATGAAGTACACACTTGGTGACAGCCCCATTTAACAGTAAGGAAAGGACTCACGTGGATGTAAGCTCTCTGAATCCCACCCAGCTCTTCACCAAGAGGAACGACGATTTTTTCCACTTGCCGCTCATGAGAATAAGGCTGAATTTCTGGAGAATCTTCAGTACACAGCTCTATCTGAGCAATGAGTAAGTTGGAAACAACTTGCTGCACAGCCTGTGGGAAAAGCCACCAAACAAAAGAGCACGTGTTTGTGTTAATATCCCAACCACTCAAGTCAACACATCATGAAAGTAACTACTTTTAAACAGCTTTGAATGGCACATCAAGGAAAACACACTATGCAAAAACTGAAATGTAAAAACCTTCAACTTGAAGATTTTAAACAGTATGTTAACAAACACTGCAGCAGCACGAGGGCTGGAGTGCCAGAGCCCTCCCTTAGGGCTGGGTACCCCAGGGAGGTGGTGGATCGCAGACATGTGGAGCACAGATGGGGTGGAAGGTTCCCACAGCCCCACATGGTAATTAAATGGCAGAGCTTTCCCTTTCAGTGGGTTTGGATGTCCATCTGCCTTTGGTGCAAACCTCAGCCCAACTTACTTTCACACAGCAGACAATGCTGAGGGGAATACAAGAAACATTCTGCATGAGCTGTATGTTTTCTTTGGCTCTGGTAGGTTTGCATTCTCAAAGAACAGAAGATAACGTTTCCTCTGAGGAAGGGCAGGAAATAATGAACAGAGCCTACAGCAGTAATTAATTCAGAGTCTACATGACCAAGATAAATGCTGAAGAACCCATGGATGGTGAAGCGATTCAGCTTTGATTTACAACTCCCCTGACTTCAATATCCCACATGTGCTGCCAAGCAGAGCCTGTTCAGCTCCAGCTCCCTCACCTTGGTGTCACTGCCTGGCGTTGCACTCAGGGCCAAAACTCGGAACTGCTTGGTGTATCTGCTCAGCTCCTTCACGACCTGCAGACAGGAAGGGTCCACATCAGCACCCACGCAGGGATGGGCAGCAGACAGAAGCTGGCAAATGCTTTGGCTCTGCGACACAGCAGTGTGTCAAACAGCAACATGTCTTCAGGAAAGGTTTTATACGTTACTTGGAAATCAGATAACCGATCAGCTCCAAGTCTTTGACACCTAACTTGCTATAGCTCTGAAAAGTAAAAGGGCAACAGAAGAAGAAAACTGCAGCGGAGGCAAAGCAGCACGCACTCCTCTCAGTTATCAAGCTAACATCCGTCCTCCAGCACAGCATGTCAAACAGGCACCAAAGCCACCTCCTTTCCCCTACAGGGACACAGCAAACAGCTCACGGACACACGGTCAGCTTCTCCAGCTTACAGAGCAGCAGCTTTGCCTTCACTCACCGATCCATGGAGGTTAAGATGAGATAACACAACAAACTCTTTGCTAACAAGCAAAATCCTGAACCCTCCCCATCTCAGATCTGCTCAAGAACAGCAAAGCAGCACCAAGGAATCACCTTATCAAGTCTCAACACAAATTATACTTAAGATCAACGTACTGATTGAGCAACGGGCAGAGAGCAGACAAACAAAGGAACTGAAAGATCTCCGTACAACTGCAAACTGCTATGGAGGACAGAAGGGATGTTGGTGTAACTGCAACCCAAGCGCAGGGCTGGGCCCGCAGCGTTACCTGGCAGTAGGCATGGTTCCCCAGAGCTTTGTGGGCTTCGTCAACGACCAAGCATTTGATTTCCACAGCAGGGCACGTTCCTCGGCTGAGGTCGTTCACCATGATCTGCGGGGTCAGGAAGAAAACCCTCCTGCTGGCCCACAGCTCCCTGCGGCTCAGGGCCTGCGTCCCACCTGGAAACGAGGAGCCGTTAGGGGTGGGAAAGATGGAATCTGACCTGATGGGGTCGGATGGGAGCTCTGCAGCTCCTCCAGCCCAACGCCACGTGAAGGCAGTTCCCCGAGCAGCTGCACCCAGAGCACGCAGGCGGCTTTGGGTCGGTGCAGAGGAGACTCCCTCACCTCTCTGGGCTCGGTGCCACCCTCACGGCACTTTCTCACGGCCGCACGGATCTCCCCGGCTCCAGTCCGTGCCCGCCGCTCCTCGTCCCGGCGCTGGGCACCACGGAGCAGAGCCCGGCCCCGACCCCATCCTACAGACGCGGCTCGGCACCGCTCGGATCCCCTCAGCCTTCTCCCCTCCGCCCGCACGGCCCCGGGGCTCTCAGCCCGTCCCGTCGGGAGGCGCTCCAGGCGTCCCCCAAATCTCCGCTCCCTCCTCGCTCCTCCGCGCTCTGCCAGCGGCTCCCATCCGCCCGGAGCCCCGCACTGCAGCCGAGGCCCCTGGGCGGAGCGGCTCCGCGCACGGCCGCCCGCGCTCCGGCCCCGTTGCCCCCGGCTCCCTTCAGCCACGACCCGCCCCGCGGCGCCGCCCTACCGGTCATCTCGGCCATGTCCCGCCCTGGGATGCCCATCAGCTGAGCGCACGCCTCCATTTGCTGAGCCACCAGCGCCTTGGTGGGCGCGAGGAAGAGCACTTTACCGGACGGGAACCAGCGGTAGAAGTTATACATGACGACGGCGGCCACGAAGGTCTTTCCCAGCCCGGTGGGCAGGCACAGCAGCGTGTTGGCGAGCAGCGCGGCGCGGGCCATGCGCAGCTGGTAGGAGCGCTCAGGCCGGTTGCTCGGGTAGATCCACAGCGCGCCCGCAGCCGAGCAGAAGCCGCTGGCCGCCGCTTCGGGACCCGGGCTCGGGTTCGGGTCCAGCTCCGCGGCCGCGGCCGCCAGCAGCTCGTCGTCATCGTCGTTGTTGTCGTTGTTAACAGCGGCGTCCCGCCCGGCCTGTAACGCGGGGCCCGCGGTCCTCCGCCACGCCTCGAGCAGCGTGCGCTGCCGGCCGCCGCTCATCGCGAGCCCGCGCGGGGCGGGGCGGACGCTGCGCTGCGGGAGGAGGAGCGGGGCGGCGGGAAGATGGCGGCGGCCACGGCGCCCACGCAGCCCGCGCAGCCCTGGAGCGCGGAGGAGCTGCGGAGCGAGGCGCTGCCCAAGAAGGACATCATCAAGTTCCTGCAGGAACACGCGGCGCAGGCGGTACGGCACGGCGCGGCGCCCGGCCCCCAGCCGCCCCGCTCAGGCCGGCCCCGCTCAGCCCGGCTCTGTCCTTGCAGTTCCTGGCCGAGCACCGCCTGCTGGGGCAGGTGAAGAACGTGGCCAAGACGGCCAACAAGGAGCAGCTGATCGCGGCCTACACGCAGCTGTTCCTCACGCAGGTACGGGTGGGCGCCGGGTGCGGGGCGCCGGGTGCGGGGCGCCGGGTGCGATCACATCTTCGGACACAGTGG